CCTCAAGCCACCGGCGCATGAGCGCCCGTCTGGCTTCCCGTGGCGGCTCACGTATGGCAGAGGCAGACTTCCTCTTCTCCCATCTACTGCAGCAGGGCATTTCTGCAGCCCCAGATCTCCCTCTCTCCCAGCTTCGGGAGTTCTCGGACCAAGTCTCCGGCGCGGTCCCCCAGCCCAAGCCAGCAGCTCCAGCCAGCTCTCCCGAGGGATCAGGGTGAGGGCGCGGGCGCAGGCGCGGGGGAAAAGGGACAAGGAAGGCGAGTCCTCCACGAGCTCGCTCGTCAAAAAAATCCACCCCTTCCCAGGCTCACCCCAGCGCCGACCAGCCCGGGAGCACCGGAAACCAGCCCCTCACGGACGTTAGCTTAGCAAACACCCTGCAATCTCTGGCAAGCTCCTTGCTGCTAATCGACGCTCGCCTCCAGTCCATGGAAAAGGGCCCTGCTGGAGCTTCAACCTCTTCCGCGAACAGGGCCGGGTCTTCTGCTTCGGTACTGCCAGGGTTTATGCCGGGTCAGGGTCTTTTACATCCACAAGCGGTAGCTCCCTCTCACTCCCTGGCTTCCGCCCTCCCAGCTCCTCCTTCAAGCAGGATTTACATTCCCCAAGCCGCTAACATTGCCTCACGGCTTAGAGCGAAAATTCTCTAAGGGAAAGACATTAATCTCGTCAGCCTTATTTTGCCTTCCCCGGAGTGCGACAAGTCCATTGCCATTGAGTCCAGACACTCAATGAGTCTTCTTTTTTGTTATTCACGGATGCTGCCCCATCTGTGGTTTTGGGGGGTTTCTTTCAGGGAGAAAGAGAAGTTCATGTAAGATGATAGAAGACAGTCTAATCACCCAATCAAGTGCATCTATGTCTCACGTGGCGTAATTAAACTGCTAATTAAGCTAGTCCTATATCATGGGTCATGTTTCAGTATTTACCTAAGCATACATCATTTTATGCTGTGCATATTGCACTAATTTATATTTGGTTTCATGCTCACATGGCTTACGATAAGCCAGGGTATGATATTCATGTATCATTGTACTCAAGCTAACAGCTGCATTACATTGTCTACATCTCCCTCTTCGCCCGGACATCGGCTTGTGCCGGCAATCCAAGATCTCTCCAGTTTACCTATGGTAAACATGCATATAACTGGTGGTGGTGTCTTAATAGCATTTCAGGGCTTCATTCAGGATAGGTGCAGCAACACTGCCGCAATCAAGGTAATTATTCCTCATCCCTACAACAACCAGACGGTGGTCCTCCTCTGCCTTCACATCCTACATTCGCCCGGACATCAGCGCCGCGAGGCCATCCAAAGATCTCTCTAACCTGGTATTTATGCATTTTAGTGGTAGTGTTCATCTGTGTATGTTTAACCCTGCATCGCAGGTCATCGACCATCGTGTCGGCAATGTTTAGTGTTAGTGTTCACGTAAGCCCGGCACTGATTCCGGCCGTCGACCTCCGGGTCAGCATCTTATGATGTACAGTAAGCCCGGCAGTGATTCTGGCCGTTCGTTTAGTGGTAGTGTTCACATAAGCCCGGCGCTGATTCCGGCCGTCGACCTTCGGGTCAGCATCTTATGATGTACAGTAAGCCCGGCAGCGATTCCGGCTGTTGTTTAGTGGTAGTACGTAAGCCCGGCACTGATTCCGGCCGTCGGCTCTCGGGTCAAGCATTTTATGATGTACAGTAAACCCGGCAGTGATTCCGGCCGATTGTTTAATCCACATGTTAATCTCTCATTTCATCCATAGATCACCGCACTCATTACAGCTCAGTATGTCATACTTCACTTCTTTGGGGGTTTCTTCGGAGCGGTTCTTCCCCTCCTGAATGATAATCCTGCAAACCGGGGCCTAATCGCCAAACACCATTCCATTCTCCTGTCTCAATTCTGGCAATCATTATTTCATTCATATGACGTGTCCCAGTAATAAATATGTATTTCATACATCAATGTCTCTCCTGATTGAAATGAAGCTTAGCGCAAGTTCAAGCAGGAAGACCAAGCTCTTCATTGATATTACACGTCACTTCTCTACCCTCTCCTCCCTCATTAAGTGATCGGGGGCGTCACTCCCCAGCTAACCAATCACTCCTCTCCATTCTCACAAGCCTATCGTTGCACCCGCTAATCCCTTTATATCTGCTCTTCCCTCCTGTCAGCAGTCATTCCAGGTGACAATATGCAACCCTCCTCCACCCCTCTCGCCTCCCGTCTCCTACAGGACCAAGCTAATCCTTCTCCCTTCAGACCGGTCCCACCTACTTATCACCACCACCAGTGTCTACTAGACCCCGGAGGGTTTCTTCGGAGCGGTTCTTCCCCTCCAGAATGATAACCCTGCAAACCGGGGCCTAATCGCCAAACACCATTCCATTCTCCTGTCTCAATTCTGGCAATCATTATTTCATTCATATGACGTGTCCCAGTAATAAATATGTATTTCATACATCAATGTCTCTCCTGATTGAACTATTATTTTCTGCCTCGCTCATGAGAGTAACAGCTGGCGAAATTACAGCCTCGCCTACTGATTTTAATTTAACCATATATCGAGCCCGATTCTCGATTTCAAATGTGTGCTCTAAAATGATATTTATAAATGACTATTATCATTATTATAAGCAAGACAATAAATGGCAAATATATGTAGAAAATAAACGTATTTAAGATACGTTCATAACAAACGTAACGTGGGAGAAAATATGTTTCTAGAAGATATGTAGAAAATAAACGTATTTGAGACACGTTCATAACAAACGTAACGTGGGAGAAAATACGTTTCTAGCTAAACGTAATTGAGAATACAGTTTAGTTCTGTGGGAACGTAATTTTTAGGAGACAGGGTTGGATTTTTTTTGTATGAATTTATGTTTCATCCAATCACAGAGCTTGTTGACTTATCACGAGGTTTGTCGCAAAGCGGACAGGCATCATCACAACAATAGCTGGGGATTGTGGGTAGTGTAGTCTCTTTGGCGCTCCACATTTCAGAGAAAACAAGTTGTTTCTCAGAATTGAAGGGGAAAAACACAAAAGCATTGAACACAATTTAAACCTATCAATGTCGTTTAATTAACAAAGGTAATATGGTGTTTTTGAGTTGATGAGTAGTGGAGATATCACTGTCAAATCAATCGACAGTAAGGAGAATACTTACTTCCGGGTGTACAATTCTCCGTTATCCAATGGGAATGGACGCTCACATTGCCTTTAACAGCAACGGTGCTTCCCTGAGCGTCAAATACCGCCGCCGATGGGAATACATTGCAATCAGTTGAAAGCTCTTTGCGTCCGTTTATGAAGCTGAAGGAGCCTCGGCGCGTCCCACCTGCACGCCACGGGACCCTGACCAAGCGTCGCTCCTGGACGTTTAGGGAGTGAGACTGTGTTGGTATGATTGACAATGTGTCACGGTGCGTATCACTAGGCCACCAGGGTGGGTGGAGGGGGTCAGGAGGACGGGACTGAGCTGACCGCCCAGGAGCACAGCAGAGGACCAGGAAGGGATCTCGGGCGGACGGCCCGGGGGCAAGGCAGAGTTCAAGGAGGGGTTCTCGGGCGGACGGCCCGGGGGCAAGGCAGAGTTCAAAAAGGGGTATTCGGGCGGACGGCCCGGGGGCAAGGCAGAGTCCAAGGTGGGGGTTATGGAGGGGCGAAGGCCATCGCGGGCGAACTCAGGGGGCCGAGCATGAGGGCGAGGACCGCGGCCGGGAAAGTCAGGGGGCCGGGCTCGAGGGCGAAGGCCGCGGCAGGAAGAGTCAGGGGGCCGGGCTCGAGGACGAGGGCAGTGGCAGGAAGAGTCAGGGGGCCGGGATCGCGGGCGAAGACCACGGCTCACAGAGGGCCGGGATCGCGGGCGAAGACCACGGCTCACAGAGGGCCGGGATCGCGGGCGAAGACCACGGCTCTCAGGGGGCCGGGATCGAGGGCGAAGACCGCGGCTCTCAGGGGGCCGGGCTCGAGGGCGAAGACCACGGCTCACAGAGGGCCGGGATCGAGGGCGAAGACCGCGGCTCTCAGGGGGCCGGGCTCGAGGGCGAAGACCAGAGAGCTCCGGAGGCCGGGCAGGAAGGCGCTGACGGTCCAGCGCCGGAGGCCGGGCAGGACCCGGTGTCGGCCGGACAGGAACCGGAGCTGGTGGGACAGGCCTCGGCAGGATACCCACGGAAGAGGACCAGGACACAGGATTGGCAGGACCCCCGGCGAGACAGAGCATGGCGGGGCCTCCAACGGAACAGGACAAGGGGTTGGTAGGACCCCCGGCAGGAGAGTAGTCGGCGGGGCCTCCAATGGCACAGGACAAACGGTTGGCAGGACCCCCGGCAGGAGAGTAGTCGGCGGGGCCTCCAACGGCACAGGACAAAGGGTTGGCAGGACCCCCGGCAGGAGAGTAGACGGCGGGACCTCCAACGGCACAGGACAAAGGGTTGGCAGGACCCCCGGCAGGAGAGTAGTCGGCGGGACCTCCAACGAGACAGGACAAGGAGCTGACAGGACCCCCGGCAGGAGAGTAGACGGCGGGACCTCCAACGGGACAGACATACGATTGGTAGGACCCCCGGCAGAGGAGTAGTCGACGGGGCCTCCAACGGGATTGGACATGGAGTTGGCAGGACCCCCAGCAGAACCTCCAACGGACCAGGACATTGGGTAGGGACTTGAGACGTGACTCGAGAGGGGACTCGAGAGGAGACTCGAGAGGGGAACCAAGGGGGAACTCGAGAGGGGACTCGAGAGGGGACTCGAGAGGGGAACTCGAGAGGGGACTCGGTTGTAAGATTCAGTTTTGTTTGATTTTGTTTTTGTTGATTATCTTTTTCTATAATTGATCTAAATCTTCATAGTAACTAAAAAAGTATAAAGGCCAATGTGTTCCTCTGGGTTAACTTAACAAGCCTCTTTATTGCTACTGTCACCGTATGAGTCATTGTATTGCATGTGTTGAAACAAATGATGGAGGGAGGGACATGTAAAAAATGGGTGGACCAAAGAGACATGACGAAGACTAAAGTAGGAGTTCAATCAAACAAGGACATTAGTTCTTCGACCCGTCTGACAACGACGCAAACCAAACGGGAAAGACCAAGTGCAAAGAAGACAGAGGACTTGTCTGAGAAAAGAGGCAAGAGATATAGGCTACAAACTGAGTAGAGAGCAGAGAGTCCAAAGTTTGACATCTAGATACAAGATCGGGATGAAGCGACACCCTGAGAAGTTATCCATCCCTTTAATTGTACTCTGTTTGGGGAGCCTGCTGATCACTGCCTTCTGGATCATTGTGGACAACGGGTAAGCGTGTCAGTACTTGTTCCAACAACCTGTGGAGCAGGTTTTCTATTTACCTGGGTATGAGGATATGTTTCTCACAAGGCACCATGTACTTTGTTATAACTACATTTCTCCTTTTGGACTGAGTTCATGTTTATTATTAGATCAAAGTAAAGTTTTTAATTATACAGTAATATAATTTATTTAGTTCAAAGCATTACATTTACTACTATATATCAAAGAAGCATTTTGACTTTTAAACTTAAAACACTTCTTTACACTCTGTTCACATATCAATAAAGACAGGAATATTCTCTTCAAAAGACCTTAACATTTATTGAGATGTCTTTAAAATATGCATCACCTATTCTGTTTTATAATAATAAGATTAATGCAGTTCAAGTTTTCTTTTGCTGAATAGTTCCTCTTTTATTCAATTTCCTCTTAAAATTTTAATTAAACAAAGAACCCTTGCATTACACTGTATTTGAACACAAGCTTTAGAACAAAAAACATTCAAAAGTCTTTCATGTATCCAATACTTAAAGCTTGACACTCAGACTGCAAACTCTGCGTGTCATTTTCTTTGGTTCAATCGCCATGAACGTTTTCTGCAGTGCATCAAAGGTGTATTTGAACTCACATAGCTCAAGTTTAGAGCAAAGATGAAGCCAAATAACATGGCACATGCATGTGCAACTTATGGCAACTCATTGAAGACTTCCACACCTTCAACAATGAGTCCGATGTGCTGCAGTGGCAGGAGAGGATAGTCCTCCACCCTGATGCCAAGCACTGCCATTGTACACTGCTCAAGCTCTGTGTCAGATGTGCAGGTCCCACATATTCAAAACGCTTGAATCAACAACTCCCTTGTTTTTATTCCAAAGGCCTCTCACACTAATTTGCATTTCAGGCTTCTGTCAACTGTCTTTCTGTGTGTGTGTGTGTGTGTGTGTGTGTGTGTGTGTGTGTGTGTGTGTGTGTGTGTGTGTGTGTGTGTGTGTGCACTCCTAAAAAATTTCTCCTCAACAGTTATAGGTATATATATATATCAGTTTAAATATTTCACTTGTCAAACTCAACAAAAGTTTGCCCCTTGTATGAGACATTTATGAAAACAACCTGGTTGAACTAGCTTTAAAAACTAGCTAACACGTGGCTAAACTTGCTAACCCTAAGCCCTATCCAAATACCTTATGTGAAACCTGTAAGGGAAACTTCTGCAGCAATGGAGAGTCAGGACTCAGAGAGACACGAGGAGAGTTGGAGCTTTGATGTCAAACACTGATGGTTTATTACGAGTATCGGCCAGAGAATTTCACATCACAAGTCACAGCAGCCAGAGGTTCTGACTGCACGGAGAGTTGCCACATCAAATCTGCCGCGCCTCTCTCTCGATAGCCCTTTTAACTAGTTCAGAGAGAGTAAACAACATATTTGGAGACTAAACAGCTGGGCACCCTGAATCACTTACGTCTGACCCTTAATGGCCTCGAAGCCAGCGTTCCCACAACCATAAACCATTTCGTGACAGACAGTTGACAGGTCATAAACTGGTTTATCGAGATAGCTAGAGCCTCCCATTCCTTAAGAGAGATAACAGACTCAGGGTTGGTCATAAACGTCAACAGGCAAAAAAAGGTTTGATATCTTAGGAGTAGAAGGAGAATTATTCCCTCACAAAACCAATATTACATATGCAACAATTTAAACTTTTCAATAGTCAAACAGTAACAACAAAGTTAGCCATTTGCATGATACATTTAAAAAATTATCTGGTTAAGCAAGCCTTAAAAAAGTATTTAACACACGGCTAAACTTTGCTTACACATAGACAAGTACTAAGACAGGCGGTAAGACATTCAACTTTAAAAACAACACAATTTCAAATCATTACCTTATTTAAGTGTTTCTGGATTGGTCCTTCTCACGGACAGCGCGGTGTAGTGGGTAGCGGGTTAATGACGGCCGCAGCAAATCTTGCAGTGACCTTGCTTTGTCCACATCATGTGGTCATGTGACATTCTTTGAAGTGAGAAAAACTATTTAGGTTAAATTATTGTTTTAGGTCGAATCAGGGGGAATGTGTTTTGCACGGGTCAACCGAAAATAAATCCTGCTGAAAAAAGAAACCACCATTTTTAAATAGACCATTTAAAACATTTACTTTGAATTAATGACACAGTCCTTTCACATTTTTCAGCGCAGAACGACATTCAATAACTCCCCTGTCAATCAGTTGTTATTCTCAGTCTTTATTTTGTATTGGATTGCTTTCTCGTTGTTTTAAAATGAGTTTAGTTGATGTTTTTTTGTAGTTTTTGGTAAACCACACCTGTCATCATAGCTCATTTGCCTTTTGGTGTGGACTATGTATAAATGAATGTGCTGTGCTGTTTGTCTCTTGTTTGTTGCACAGCCATCTTTTACCAAGTGAACCACCTTCACCCAAGAAAATCCCCCCTTGGCCCTCTGACCTTTGCAAAGGATGCAGGTGAGAGCAAACACCGTCCATGCTTCTCCTTGAAGGGACCTTTCTGTTAATGCCTTCATCAGAACAATTCATGTTATCACGAGGGGTCACACACCTGACTGTGTGTGTGTGTGTGTGTGTGTGTGTGTGTGTGTGTGTGTGTGTGTGTGTGTGTGTGTGTGTGTGTGTGTGTGTGTGGTGTGTGTGTGTGTGTGTGTGTGTGTGTGTGTGTGTGTGTGTGTGTGTGTGTGTGTGTGTGTGTGTGTGTGTGTGTGTGTGAGAGACAGGGAGCTCATTGAAAAAGTAAGAGAACTCTACTCAAAAACTTGGAAGAAGCAAGAAGATAATTACAGAAACTTCAGGTAATTGTATTTCATTACATTTTGTATAAAATGTTGATAAAAAAGGTTGTGGCCAGAATTGCAATTAATAGTCCATGCAGGCAAATATTTGCTGTTTCTCAGGGGAAGAGTATAAACACTAAACATTGTCACAGTTTGAGACTATTCAGTGAGTTGGTTTTAAAAGTATTTAGAAGAAGCCCAAGAGTGCCACATCATTCAACAATTTGCAACTGAATCCATTGGTAATCAAAAATCTTAACAAATGTATAGCACGAGTCAGAGAGTAAAACAGAGGGACTTCACCTGAAGATAACTTTAACTCACGTTGAGGATTATATCAATTAAAAATCCTTATAAGAAAGAAGATACGTTTGATATATAATCTGAACAAATTGCCACTTACTGTGTTTGGTCAATCATAAAGCTTTCAGTTCAACAAAACTCCTGACTTGGATGTTTTTTTAACAAAGTCCTTGTGTTACCCCAGTTCTCAGCTGAGAAGTCAGGGCCAGGGACTTGACAGCGCCATCATTACCCAGGCCAACTCTCCAGTGGGATCAAATATTGTGTACTCTGAGGAAAGCACGACGACCCGCATGGTGACTCCAGAGATGTTCAGCACCTTCATAAAGGTATGTAGTTTTTCATTCATGGATAGTATCACATCATCTTCTGCTTGTTGTCTTTATTGTTCCTTAAAGGGCTCAGAGATTATAAATGATGTGTTTAGTTACATGGTGACTGTTTGATAGAAACGACCACCCACAGGGGTGCCCAACCAGTCGATCGCGATCGACCGGGAATGAACAACAATATTCTGTTTTATCGTTAATGTCCTGTAACATAATCTTCCTGTGCCAGAATAATGCACTTGAACGCATCAAAGCTTTGTGATTGGCCGGCGTGACCCCATGTGTCGGGGCGTGGCTGGCGGACAGTGGGCACTATTTCGCTGACGTTGTCCGTGTCAACAGGAGTGACAGTGCACACACACACAAGACCGCAATTATGGCAGAAGCAAAAAAAAAATAAATATAATTTTCACTCCGAGTGGGAGGATGATTATTTTTGTATCTATTCCAATTCAAAGTCCATCTGTCTCATCTGCAATGCGAGCGTGGCTTTATCGAAGAAGGGTAATTTAGGAGCGGCATTTCAAAACAGTGCACAAACGCTACGAGACGGAATTCCCTCCTAATTCTGCCCTACGCTCCAAAAGGGGAGGGGCCTGAAAGGACAGCTAAATGCACAGCAGTCCATTTTCACCAGGCCCAACAACAAGAGCAAGGCTGCTACCAGAGCATCTTATCGTGTCAGTCACGTTCTTGAGAAACACATGAAGTCTTTCAAAGACGGCGAAGTTGTGAAAGAAGCATTCCTGGAGGCTGCCGACGCGCTTTTTGGGGACAGTAAAAATAACAGCAGTATTTCAACAGGTTTTTGATAAAAACTCAAGTTAGATACCGTTATTAATCAGCTGTAAGTTTTAGTTTGTTTGAACTTATTCATTATAATTATTGTACAAAATGGTATAAGAATGCAAACTGAAATTGATTATAGTCTATTATCAGTTCAGGTTAAGAAACTAGTGTTGCTTGCATCCTATTTTAAAGGCATTTATTTTTATACTCTACTAAAATGCAACAAAAAAAACGGTTTGATTCTATTAATGTTGTCTTTTTTATTGCACTGTTGCAGCAGATTCCTGTGTAGCTTCAGATCTGAGTTGTCTTATTAGTAAGCCTAATTTTAATGGCAAAGAAAGGGTTCAGAGTCTTTTCTTTTTGTCCTGTGTCATATGTGGCAGCACTGTTCAATGTTTCTTGAAAACATTACCCACTGTAGTATGTGACGTGTGAATAAACTCCAACTCTGTATCAACAACACTGTTGTGTAGCTTCAGTTAAATACTTGTATGTGTGTAGATTAGAAAGAGGTAAGATAAAGGATCTGCAGTATTTTATGAAGTATTAATTGTACAAAGGTCAGTTTTATACAAGTAGAAGAGTGTATTTACCTGGTAGTAGGCTGTCAGTAATGGCTACGCTTCTCTATTTGGACTGGTAGATCTCGGCAGACTGGCAACTTTAAAAGTAGCTCTCGGTTAAAAAAAGGTTTGGCACCCCTGACCTATGACCACCCTTTCACAAACACACACATGCACGCACACACTCACGCACACACACATAATTATGATTTGAAGTGAGGACTTCTTAATCTGACGAATGCTAAAAAAAAAACTACAATCTTATTTCAATACACAGCATGTCTGCTTTTAATTATATAATTGCTGATTTGTAAATCTAAATATCAACTGTCTGATCCATGGACACAACAACTTTGTCAGGACTAACCAGAATAGTTCAGAAGTTTCAGGTTTCAGATTCCAGGATACAGCCCACTGCTCCTGATACTGGGATGGTTTAAATACAGAGGCTACATTTCACTGTGTGTGATCAGCTGAGATGGCAAATCAGCCAAGGGGCGCAAAGTTGAGGGCCCAATGGCCACTACCTGCGCCCTAGCTCAAACCGCAGCTTCAAACTCTCTTATACACTATAGTCAGTCATTTTGGAGAATTGTGCGCTGTTTCAGTACGTTTAAAATCGTAAAAGAATGTAGGAAATCAATAACGCATCTCTAACACCTCGAGTGTACATTAAATAAATACTCTCACTCACACACGTTAACAAATGTTGGAACTGTTATAGGGGATTTGTAAACATCCCCATGGCTCTTGCTCATTCACAAACATTATATAATCATATGCATGTTATTGTTCTGTAATATATTTTTTCATTGGTTTTATTTCCAGGAGAATCCATTTCCAAAGAAAATATATGACACGTGTGCTGTTGTTGGGAACTCAGGGATTCTGACAAACAGCAACTGTGGAGAGATGATCGATTCGGCTCAGCTTGTTATCAGGTGAGAAATCTGTCAAGATTAGGGGACTGAAAGGCTGATGGCGACATCAATCTACAGAATTAAACATAAAGAATTAAAAAGATCATAAAATTCCCAATAATAATTTCTGATTCGTCCGTTATGCTTTTCAGGTGCAACCTACCTTCTTTGGGAAAAGGCTATGAGAAACATGTGGGCAACAAGACTGACATTGTGACAGCAAATCCGAGGATCCTCGTTAGAAAGTGAGCAAAACAATTAGTCTCACTGTACCATAACATTTATTTTAGTTTTGTTGCCAAACATTCTTTCTATTTTCAGGTATGGGCCCTTAGACGGGCCTAGCCGTCCATTTGTGGAGAGTCTACATATTTACGGCAAGTCCCTGCTGCTTCTACCTGCCTTTGCCTTTGACTTTTGTACTCCTTTGTGCCTGAAGGCTGCATACAGCATGAGGGACCTTGAAAGTCCAATTAGGCCCACCTACTTCAACCCTGATTACCTCCGGAGACTGAACAACTTCTGGCGCTCCAGAGGCCTACACAGAGGCCTACACAGAGGCCTACACAGAGGCATACTCAGCACCGGCTTAGTGATGGTTAACATAGCGCTGGAAAACTGTGCCAACGTGCATGTGTACGGTTTCTGGCCCTTCAGTATTCATCCATTTGAACTCAATGCCGTGAAAAACCACTATTTCGATGATGAAACAGTTAACTGGGGAGCGCATTCCATGCCTGCTGAGTTTAATCTGTTGTTGCAGCTGCACAGTCAAGGTGTGCTCAGGCTTCACCTGGGGAACTGTCGACCAGGTAACAATTAGTTTTCAGGTCCAGAGACAGATGAGACTGGGCATCTGAATAATTGGGACATTTCCTTGTGGACTGAGGACTAATCTCAGAATTTGTCTCTAAACTATGCCTTTTCAATCCAATCCACTCACTCTCTCCCCATATCAGCTCTTATGCCCCTTTCACACCAACGCGGTTCCAGGGCCGGTTCGGAGCTTGAGCCTGATAAGCACCGTTTTTCCTGTTCACACCGCAGCGGAGCCGGCTGTTTTTTACCTGAAAACCGGTTCTTACCATGTGTTACGGAGTTACAAATGTGTATACACAATTATTAATTATAAATTACAATTTACAATAGGTTGTGAATTTTATTTCTATGAGATTGTTTCCTTTTAATATTTTTGAGTATTGTTTCTAGTGGGAACACTTTCCCGTTGCACATCGTTTTCTATTTCCTGGATGTCATTTCCGCTTTCCCCTCACATCGAAGTGAGCACTGCTGAGGGTAAGCTGTGCTAGGAATTGTGTTATAGTTCATTACAATTTTGTGTGTTAAACCGGCAATTTAAGTTTATGAAAGTGATGTATGTTGTTAAGTGTCAATTTGGGTATATTATTAACCCGTTTTTGTTAAGTTTCCACCGTAAGAAATTGTATTTTTGAGCGATATCCACGGTGTGGTTTTGGCGGGAAATAGACGCGTTCTGCGTCATTTTCTTTGTTTACATTGGTTACACTTTCTGACTTTTCTTTCTTTTCTTTTGTAAAGATGTGCTATGCGGATGCAAAGAGAATATTATTTTTGTTCTCAGGTATGTTTGTATTTTGTATGATAACTTAAAAATAAGATTTTCTTGGTAATTTAATAATTTCTCAATGTATAAATAAATACTAGAAGACATTGAAGTGAGCACTGCTGAGGATGTGCGACGCGGATGCAAAGGGAATATTATTTTTGTTCTCAGAATAAATGCCAGAAAAGACACCCAGATCCCTCGCTGTCATTTCCTGATAGATAACAGGTCGCTTACGGTTGTGACCCGTTACACATGCTCGAAAACATTTTCGTCTAAAAGCAAGAACTGCATATGTCACGCTTACGTCGGAGGCGGGGGGAGGGGAAGGGGCGGGATCAACCTCCTGAACAACAACAAAAAGCCCACGTTTTGTCCAGTTTGTACACAACGATGGAAAACCCCAAACTTAAACAGCAGTGGTCCACTGAAGAGACCAGCTACCTACTGGGAATCTGGTCTTCCCAAGAGGTACAGAGGAAGCTGGAGGGGAGCACGCGGTCCAAAGCAATTTTACAGCAATTGCAGCGAGAGATGGCAACCGCTGGTTATGACCGTACCGTGTACCTATTATTTGCATTTGGTTTCGACAAAGCAAAAGCAAAACGAGCAGCGCTTCAATACAATCAGCCATTTTTGTTGTTGTCGATGTGAGGGGTTTCCGCACGGTTTGGCTTTATGAAGCAGGCACGTAAACGGTTACGTCATGACGCAAACTATGACGCAATGACTCAGCACCACTCGGGCTCTGGGCGGTACTAACAAAACGGGGGCTGAAAAGAAAAACCTGTTCCGAACGAGAAGAGCGCAAACACGGAGCTAAAACGGGAGCTGCGTTGGTGTGAAAGGGGCAATAGACCCTCTGAGCAGAGGGCAAAAGCAGAAAGTGCGATAGAATATATTGTCACTTACACCAATTAATACATTTGATAAATAATTATGATCTCAACTTTGGTACAAAAATAATTAGTATTGTCATTTTGGCCATAATAATAGTCATAATCATTTCTTACTTTTTCCAGCAAACTTGCAAGGTAATGGTAATTGAAAATATAACTTTCAGTCATGGAAAGGTTTTGATATTTGAAAAGATGTGTGTTTACTGACATATTGTGAGATGTAAAGGAATTCCAGTTGGATACAAATACACAGTGGTGGCTTTGGGACTGGGCATAATTAACATCTAATAATTATATGGGTGTACATGCAATGTAATGGAATGTAATGTATAGTTTCTGATAGGGCTGTGCAATTAATCGTATTTTAATCGCGATTACGATTATGGCTTGCGACGATTATGAAAAAGGCAAAATTGACAAAATACGATTATTTTTGCTGGGTGCGCTTTCGCCCCTCCCTAAAAGCCCACTCGGTCACGTGGGAGTGACATGTGTTGTGAGTGTTTAGCACGAGCGAAGATGTCAGAACAAGAGCAGCAACTCGTTAAAAAGAAGGGTACAACTATTTCCACTATTTGCAAGTACTTTGCCATTACATTTCACATCGCTAAAGATATGTAACCAGTTAGCACTGTTAGCAACCAGGGCTTTAAACAACTTGTCAACACGTTGGACAAGCGTTACGCGATGCCGTCTCGGTATTATTTCAGCAGGTCTGCGCTGCCTGCACTATATGACAAATGCCGTGGGGAAGTTGAGAGAGATGTGGCTTCAGCTGACTACTTTGCTACCACAACAGACCTATGGTCCTAGAGGTGCCCAACCAGTCGATCGCGAGATGTGTCTAAAAATAGAACAACAATATTCTGTTTTATCGTTAATGTCCTGTATCATAATCTTCCTGTGCCAGAATAATACACTTGAACGCACCAAAGCTTTGTGATTGGCCGGCGTCACCCCATGTGTCGGGGCGTGGCTGAGGGTCTTCAGTACAGGTGGCAATATTGTCACCTGCCTGCGCTCATCTCTGAAACCAGACCATGTAAACAGGCTGGTGTTTCTTGCAAAAAATCTTTAAGAGATGACATGAGCAGCCCTACCAGCATTTGCCATGGTGGCCTAAACATTTTTATTTGGTCTTAAATTGTAGTTCAACATTTATTTCCTGTTACTTCTGGACCATGACGGTTGGCCAGCCTTCAACGTTTAACTGAGTGGAATATGTTGAATATGTTTTACCAAAATGTTGGCTATATGTTAAGGAGTTTTCAGTAGGTTGTGACAGTGCACTGCATCATATTTGATTTAATTTATTTTGGTCTAATTTATTTGTATTTATCATATTAATAATATATGTTTAGTATGGTTTTGGAAGTGCGCTCCAACATATTTGTTGATCTTGTTTATTGGTAAAATATTATTTGTTTTAAAGTTCAATAAATGGTCAATGAATAATCGTAAAAATAATCGTGATATCAATTATTGACCCAAATAATCGTGATTATGATTTTTGCCATAATCGCACAGCCCTAGTTTCTGATACTTTGCTTGATGCTTGGATACAAGACCATCACTTGTGTGTCCCGCCTTATTTGTATGTACTATGATTAGGGTATTACTTGCCAGTTTTTGAGGGTTGACAGTGACACATACCTTGCCCTCTCAGTATACATATTATATTATATTCTAATGCAGCTAGCACTTTCAGCAAGCTGATCTATTTGGGGTGGACCTATGTTAGATGTACAATTCATAAATAAACTGGTATAATAAAATAAAGGAACAACAAATAAATATATAGTTAAAGTTAAAGTCAAATAATACAAAAACAATCACAAATTAAAAGCCAGATTGAAGAGGTGAGTTTTTGTAAGTTTTTTGAAGGTGGTGAGGTCAGTGCAGTCTCTGATGGGTTGTGGGAGTGAGTTCCAGAGGGAAGGGGCAGCGACGGAGAAGGCTCTGTCCCCCCAGGTCCGGTGATTGATGTGGCAGCGGGAAGGGGTGTGGTGGTGCAGCAGGTCTGTGAGGGAGGGGGGAGCCTGGTTGTTGAGGGCTTTGTGAGTAATCAGGAGGACTTTGAAGTGGATTCTTTGACGGACGGGGAGCCAGTGGAGGTTCTGGAGGAAGGGAGTGATGTGGTCTCGGGAGCGGGTGTGGGTGAGGAGGCGGGCAGCAGAGTTCTGGATATGTTGGAGTTTATTGAGGAGGTTGGATGGTATGCCGTAGAGCAGGCCTATTCAACTAGCGGCCCACGGGCCGAATCAGGCCCTTCAGAACTTTTTTCTGGCCCACAAGAGGTTACCTGCAAATCGAAATGGCATATGTGTAATAGCATAAATAAAACTAATGTCTGATCACACTAAATCTGACGATGCGGCGAAAACGCTGGTTTTTCCATTCATTTGAATTATTTTGAATCCATTATTTTGCCTGCCGCGCTCTGCTCATTAAAAAAACAAAACGCACTGTGTCCTCACTTGTCATTGGCTCAGTCAAACTCACGTTACACACTAGGTTCGCGGGCCACAGAGAAAGTACTTTAGTTAACAACAGCTTCAAGATGTCTCTCTCCAAGCCCAAGAAACGTAAAGTTGATTCGGAAAATCGCCAATTCCAGAATGAATGGACTGACAAATACGTATTTACTTTGCCAGCCGCAACAAGTAATAAACCGGTGTGTTTATTGTGCAACGAAAGTATATCCGTGATGAAAGAATACAACGTAAAGCGACACTACAACTCAAATCACGGCTCGTTTTCTGCCAGTTTTCCCGTGGGCTCAGAGGAACGGAGAAGGAAAGTACAGGGACTGCTAGCATAATTTGAACGGAGTCAAGTGGCCAACAATGAGGAAGGTGGCCTTGCTTATGCTGACAATGTTTGGATCTACCTATACTTGTGAGTCTAGCTTTTCTCATATGAATGCCATCAAAACGAGGGCACGTCGCTCCATGACCAATGAGAAGTTGCATGAGTGTCTCAGGATTGCTCTTACCACTTCAGACAAACTATGCTGAAATACCTAAATCAAGGCAGTGTAATTTCTCTCACTGACTCAAACAGGCTAAACATGATAGAAGTCTGATTCATGGTATGTATGCAGATCTGTTTTTATGGTCATTCATTTTATGGTCATTCAAACAAGCCTACTTACTGTTTCGAAAATTGTAAAAATGTTTCCAAGATATGAATGTTATTGTGAGTCTGATGGCTATTGTTTTACTATGTTCTATTTGCATTTAGTATTACATTGTATGGACTTGTGTTGTCTTCAATGCACCTTATGTATGCTTGGAAGTGTTGAGGATATTATACACAGGGCTACTTACTGTTAATGTGATGAATACTGTTTTATTATATTCATCTTGTTTTGTACATTAGTGGACATGGAACTGTTGGGGGAAAAAACTCATGTCTCCTTAGTTTTAAAGATGCAACATTTTCTATTTTTGTGTCAAGCCTTGTAACCGAAGCTTTCCTACTTTTTTATGGACTGGTTGCTTTCTGTAATGATTTATGTTGATACAATTAAAGTTAAAAAAAAAAGGGATGCACTTGACTAGTTCATTTAATGTATTAGTATCTATTAACACTACTGTAAGCAAAAGTTATTTGTAGTGGTTCCTTGACAAAGTATTGTGTGGCCCACAAACCCCCAGTGATTTTCCTATTTGGCCCACTTGCTAATGAAGTTGAATAGCCCTGCCGTAGAGGATGCTATTGCAGTAGTCGAGTCGTGATGTGATGAATGCATGAATCAGGGTTTCAGCAGCAGAGGAGGAGAGTGATGGGCGGAGACGGGCAATGTTTTTGAGGTGGAAAAAGGCGGTCCTGGTGATGTGATTGATGTGGTGGTTGAATTTGAGCTGACTGTCGAAGATGACTCCGAGGTTGCGGATGTGAGGGGGGGGAGATAGAGTGTGGCTGTCAATGGTGAAGTTGAAATTCTGGATGTCTTCTATGTCACGGTTTTAGTGTTGTCTGTCTGGTAATGGGTTTTGTTTTTGCTGTTCTGTTCTCCCTCTCTCTTGTTTTCCTCCTGTGTCTGATTGTCTCATTGTTTTCACCTGTTGCCCTTGTGTTTCTGCCTCCCATACCCCGCTGTTTCTCGTCCCGTGATTACCCCTCTCTGTATTTAGTCTTGTCGTTCCCTTAGTCTTGTCGTTCCCCTGTTTCTCCTGTCTTCCTCCATGTCAGTCACGGTCAGTTTTTTATGTTTCTTCCTTGTGCTACCGTTGTGTTCATGTCATGTTTTTTGTCATCGGCTTTTGAATAAAGCTCGCTTTTTGTTTATAGACCTATTTTACCTTTTTTGTAGTCTGCATTTGGGTCCTACCTTTTTCCGCGATCTTAACAGAGATCATAACAGAATGAACCGACCAACTTTGGACTCAGCAGACTCAGATTATTTTGCTCTACAGGCTTGGGTACTCTCTGGAGTACATTTTTTACACTTGGAATAACGCCTCATCTAGACGGGGTAGAGAGGCTGCCTTGAAGGAGGCACGTCAGGAGGTTGCTCGCAAGCCCTGGCTCAGGAGCTTGTTGCCTGAGTGGCTACAGCTTCTCACAAGTAGTCCTGAAGACTTGTCTGAAGCCTCTAATGGCGCGTCGGCCTCGCTCGGTTTGGTTTGGCCTTGTTAGGCCCGGCTCACTTTAATGCTGCGCTTCCATTACAGTTTAGGAACTGGGGTAGTTACTATAGTAACGCAGTGTAGGCGGGGCGATCAGCTTTTTGGCGGGCGGAGCAACGCTGCATACAACTGCCGTGACGTCACCTTCAATGCGACACAACTCACAAAACACACAAAAACAATGGAGGATGTGGAAGCCATCGTGTCCTTGCTTCTTGGTATGTGGTTTTTTATCACAGCAAGAAGGAAAACTTTGTTTCGGAAAAGGCTGCTAATTGCAAGACGTAATACAGAAGAAGCTGAGGGGAGACTTATGGCAATCGTACAACGCGGCAGAGACTACTCCAGGACGACTCAACGACAACGCTACTCGGTAAGCTAACGTTCGCTAACTAGCAATGTGTTTCACGCTTACTATACGACCAAAGTGTTTCACGCTCATTATATGACAAAAGTGTTTCAAGTATTTAATTAATTGTAGCTACCACTTTTACGTATTAAAATATGTATGCTTTTGTTTGTGTATTTCAGAAGTTAGGTTGCCACCGCAGACCATGTGTGTGGATGCTTGACCGAGCAACCGAGTGGTGGGGTGTGATTGTTCCATCTTTCACACACACTCAGTGGGTGAAGAACTTCAGGATGTCTGAGGAAACCTACGTCTACCTGTGCAACAAACTGCGGCCAGCGATGGAGAGACAGGACACACCATTCCGCGAGTGTATACCTCTAAAGAAGAGGGTGGCCATCGCACTGTGGAAGCTTGCGACCGGCTCAGAGTACAGAAGCATTGGACATCTTTTCGGAGTGAGCAACACAACTGTGTGCCGGTGTGTGCAAGACTTCTGTGCTGCTGCAGAGACGTTGTTAGTACCGGAACTAATTTGTTCACCAGACCGGGAGCAGTTTGCAGAAATGGCTGCCTACACTGAGAACAGGTGGGGGCTCCCTCAGTGTGTAGGTGCTATTGATAGATCACACATACCCATCTTGGCACCATAGGAATACCACTGCGACTATTTCAACCGTAAAGGCTGGCACTCCATCATCCTTCAAGGAGTTGTAGATGGAAAGGGACATTTCTGGAATGTGTTTGCAGGAATGCCTGGGAGCTTGCATGACGCTCGGGTTTTGAGGCTGTCCTCATTGTGGCCGCCGCCTTCTTACCCGACCTTGTGCCCGGCCTCCTGAGTTCCCCAGCGGCTTTCGCCCTCGAGCCCGGCCCCCTGAGTTCCCCAGCCGCGGCCTTCGCCCTCAAGCCCGGCCCCCTGACTCTTCCAGCCGCTGCCTTCGCCCTCATGCCCGGCCCCCTGAGTTGGCCCGCTGTGGCCTTCACCCCTTTTTTAACTCTGCCGTCCGCCCGAGACGCCCTCCTCGAACTCTGCCTTGCCCCCGGGTCATCCACCCGAGACCACCTCCGGTTCCTCTGACTTGCCTCTGGGCTGTCGACCCAAAAAAGTAATATATTACACTACTTCGTTACTCTCTACATAAAGTAACTTGTTACTTTACTCGGGGGTCCTTAGCTATTAGCTTCACCTTAGCATGTGTTCTTTGCAGGTGTTTGTTGAGGTTTGACGTGGTGTTTACAGCAGTGGATAACTGGCCTGGACACAGTTTGCACCTCACCGTCACATTCCTGTCTATTCTTCGGACAAACTCAAAATAATGGGCATACCTCCACCCCTCGAAAGTTATCGCTGACTCAGCCATGTTTATGCAGCACTGCACGCGGAGATGTGGATGCGCAAGTCGCGCAGATTACGTACATATAAACCTGCGGCGGAAACCCCTCTTGTCTGTCAGTGTGATTATGACTGATTTTATAAAAGTAACGAAGTAACGTGTGTCGGGGCAATGTTAGTAACTGTAGTGTGACTGAATTATAAAAGTAGCCCGTTACACTACTCCGTTACCGACAAAAGTAATATTATTACAGTAACGCGTTACACCCAACTCTGCTTAAGATGTATTTATGCTTTAAAAATGGAAATACAAGAGCAAATTTAGGCAAATAAATGATTCATCATTAGCATGTGTTTAGAGTCGGTGAGGTCCTGATAATTTATTCCGGTAAATTACTCTGACCTACTAATTGACCTGACCGAAGTTATTGAGTCTATGTAAGTTTACTGCTTGGCTCAGATCCACCAACATCAGGAAGATCTCACCTCTATTAACTCCCCGAAGAACCAGGTTCAATTAACTGCTGTTTCTATTCAGACAACTCTTTTTTAATCTGTTTAAGGGATCCCGAAGGATTTTGATATCAGTAAATGGAGTGTGTTCCTACCTAAGTGTGTGTGTGGCAGGGTGCAGTCTTACCTTTGAAGCAGGAGAGGAGAGCACAGATTTTCTTTTAGTTGTTCCAATCCAACAGGTGAGATCAGTTTATTTGAAGAAAAATAGGTCCAAAACTAATACAGGGTTTTTACCTTTTAACACATTATAATCATACGCAACATATCATACTGGGGTTATATTTTTATTTAAAACCTTAATTCATATTTCTCATCTATCCAGGATCTAAATAAAGCCATTAGTTATAAGGACAGAGGACAGAGCCTACCGGGAGAGAGTATACCAGGGGTTTCCCCCTCTCTCTCACGCTCTCTCAAAAAACCAGTCTCTTTATGCTCAAAAAACCGGATCGAAACCCCAAAAAACACCTCCTCTATTCCCAACCAACATCTTCTATTGGCTATGGCCTAAGACACACCTTCCCATGTGTGTATAAACAAAACTAAAACATGACTAGACATTTTCTATGGCTATGACCAGGTTTGGGAGGGTTACTTTGTAAATGTAATCAGTTACTGATTACTGAATACATGGCTCTGAAAGTAATCAGAATACAGTTACAGTTACGTGTCTTAAAAAAGTAACATAATCAGATTACTTTTAGATTACTTTTGGATTACTTTCTTTTTCCATCACAGATGGGTATGTTTTGGTGAACAGGAGACACAAAAAGCAAAAGGACACTGAACGTGTTTTTACTGTTTTAATGGTTTATCAAGAGCACAACTGAAACACAACATCTGAAACGATGTAACAACATAATACACTTTTTGGGGATGCAGCTTGGGATGTGAGGAGTGAGGGACACGGCTTAGTACGAGCGTGTCGCCTTCTGTCCTGCCAGTGTTGGCAGGACATGAATTAAAATGTCAAACTCGGACTTCATTTTAAGGACATTACGGCCAGGGGTGTAGAGCTATATTTGTTTAACCACCGGATTGACAAAACAGGAGAGTGTGTGAACCAGTCTGCCTTGATCTATGAATTCATGTCCGTGACACTCACAGTATCTGCTGCCCACAGCTGTTTTATAGAAGGAAAACCTCCTTCACTTCATGAAATCTCTGCAGCGCCAGGAGGCAGCGGGAGGGTTAACTCAGCCTCTGAGAAGACGAGCGCGCAGTGCCTTTCACGCACCGCCTTTCACGCACCGCCTTCGCTGTGTTTACCTTCAGAATCATAAGGCTAAAGAGCGACCGCAGGCTGATGTGTTTTAACCACACACATCTCTACACACACACGACTTAAACGCAGACTTTTGTTCCCCCATGTTTCGTTGTTATTGTTTCACTGAGCGGACCCGCCCCTTTTTTTTCAAACGCTCCCTTTTTTGGTACATCTGCTGCGGTAAAGGTTTTTGTGCGCTGTGATGATTCGGCTGTACCTTTAGTAATGAATATTAAATGTTGTGAGGAAATCTTTCCACCAATAATTCCAATATGTAATCCAAAATGTATTCACTTCAGGTTTACGAAAGTAACTGTAATCAGATTACTCGTTTTTCAAATGTAACGCGAGCTGAATACAGTTACTTGATTTTTGTATTCTGATTACGTAACGCCGTTACATGTATTCCGTTACAACCCAACCCTGGCTATGACATAACCACCTTTTTGAGGCCTCAATGTGTTTCTCCTTAAGTCAGGAGCCCCCCTCCCTGTGCACCCTTGTGAGAGGAGAGGGAGAAAACTGCCTACTCTCTTATCAGAGAGTAAGACATAAATCATTTATAGGTCTTACACTCAACTTAACAAACCACTGGTGTTTTGTTTATGCTGTAAATATAGAAAAACCTAAAATATGAAGTATTTTCATTGTGGGTTATACAAGAATATAATTGATTATATTTGATTATAACTAACTTTCGTTTTAAGTATTCAACATACTATAAAGCTCTCAACACATGTAATAATCTCATAAAGCGCATTCACACCGTAGTACTTTTCCCACAAAGGTTCATAAGAACTTAGTTCATGAGAACTCTTTAGTTCTCATGAACTAAGTACAGATCACGTTCACACCGGAATAAGTTCCCTGAGGGAGGATTACGGTACGTCCACACAGCAGCTTTTCAAAAATCTTGAAAATCTTGGAGCTGAGCGTGTCTGAAAGCTTGGAGATTTTTTGCGAGCAACGCGACCAACAACCAATCACATGAATCTCCCGCCCCCGACATACAAAGCAAAAAACCCCGGGGATTTTATGCGAGCAATATATATATAAACTCCCCAAACAGGCGAAAACCTACCAGTTTCACCCACTGTCTCTGCCACCTCCCTCCATGCATGGTTCCTCCGGTTTGTATCCCGTTAATAGTTCTGGTCGTAAAGAACCGGGTGATTTGCTACCGTAATTTCTCGTTTGGAATATGAGGAAATGAACTGCGGTCTGGCTCTCCCTGCTTAGACGCGGTTTGATTGGCTAGCGCTTCTACTGTCAGATTTGCATAAACGTGATTTGATTGGCTGACGCTTCCAGCTCAGCTTCAAAAGTTGAACATTGCTCAACTTTTGAATCCTGGAAATCTTCGCTTCGCTCCCCCACAATGCAGTTCGGCGAAAAGCGAGGCAAAGTGACGTCATCCCCATTCAAAGTCAATGGGCAGAGAAGCATTGGAAGCGGTGGAAGATTTGTCTAAAGCTGCTGTGTGGACGTACCGTTAGGCAAATGAAGCCGCTGACGTCACTTAGAATAGAATCGTTTAATGTCATTATACATGTACAATGAGATAATAATAAATACTTCTCCCTTTCAAGGGTGCCATCAAAACAAAAACATCACAACATAAGACAACAAAATACACGCAGCATACATACTTAGGAATAAGGAATAACGGAATAAAGTGCAGTAATTATTTCCAGGAGTATAAAAATAAAATCTGTAATGTAATAAATAATAATAATAATAATAGTGTGTATTTATAATAATAATAGTAGTAATGATATATATGTATATATGTACAGAGTCACATTGATTCACATGATTTCAGGTGTTAAGAGCAATGATGGCTCTTGGGAAAAAACTGTCTTTGAGTCTGTTTGTTTTGGATGTGATACACCTGTAGCGCCTGCCGGAGGGCAGCAGGTTGAACAGGTGAACGCCGGGGTGTGAGCTGTCCTTGATAATGTTTTTGGCTCTACTGAGGCAGCAGGAGGTGTAAATGTCCATCAGGGAGGGGAGAGGGCAGCCGATGATCCTCTGCTGCTTTTACGACTCTCTGGAGCCTCATCCTGTCGGCCTCAGTGCAGCTGGCGTACCACACTGTGATGCAGTAAGTCAGTAGGCTCTCGATGGTAGAGCGGTGGAAGGTCACCAGCAGCTTAGTGGCCAAGTTGTTCTTCCTGAGCACCCTCAGGAAGTGCAGACGCTGCTGGGCCTTCTTGATGACAGCTGTGGTGTTGTCCTTCCAGGAAAGGTTGTTGGTGATGAGGACGCCAAGGAACTTGAAGGTGTGGACCCTCTCCACACACTCGCCGTTAATATCGAGGGGAGCGAGGTCGGTAGTATTCCTCCTGAAGTCTACGATGATCTCTTTGGTTTTTGTGGGGTTCAGTGCCAGGTTGTTCACTGAACACCACGCCAGAGCCTTTTCTTATCAAGCTCCACATTTGTGGAATCAGCTTCCAGTTTGTGTTCGGGCGGCAGACACCCTATCCGTTTTTAAGAGTGCGCTTAAGACCTTCCTTTTTGATAAAGCTTATAGTTAGGGCTGATTAGATTCAGCCCCTAGTTTTGCTGATATAGGCTTAGTTTGTCGGGGGACATCTTACTTCTTCCTTCTCTCTGTCTATACCTGTGTACTCTCATGTTCCGATTAACCCAGCTTCCCCAAATGTCTTTCTTTTTGGTGTCTATATACGCCGGGATCCGGAGTCATGGATGATCCTGCGCTCCTCTGTCCTGGATCGCGAGCCCTGGATCTTGAGTCGTGGCTGTGGTCCTGGATCATAGGTCCTGGATGGATATCCTCGTGGATTCATCTTCCTATTATACACACATGCATTTCCAAACATTTGGACTACCTATGTTGCAAATGTATTATCTTTTCAATTTACACACGGCATCTATTGCACGTCTGTCCGTCCTGGGAGAGGGATCCCTCCTCTGTTGCTCTCCCTGAGGTTTCTCCCATTTTTCCCTTTAAACTGTGGGTTTTCTCCGGAAGTTTTTCCTTGTACGATGTGAGGGTCTAAGGACAGAGGGTGTCGTATTGTCATACTGATATTTTGTACAAACTGTAAAGTCCACTGAGACAAATGTAACATTTGTGATATTGGGCTATATAAATAAACATTGATTGATTGATTGAACGCTGAGAGCTTCAGTACCTCACTCCTGTAGGCCGACTCGTCTCCTCCGGAGATAAGCCCCACCACAGTGGTGTCGTCAGCAAACTTGACGATGATGTTCTCTGGGTGGGTTGGACTGCAGTCGTGGGTGTAGAGCGAGTACAGGAGAGGGCTCAGCACACAGCCCTGAGGAGAGCCGGTGCTGAGAGTGTGGGTGGAGGAGTGATGGGGGCCAAGTCTCACACGCTGGGGGCGGTTAGTGAGGAAATCTTTGATCCAGGAACAGGTGGGGGAAGGCCTAGGTATGATAGTTTGCAAACTAGAATGTCCGGGATGATTGTGTTGAACGCTGAGCTGTAGTCAATAAAGAGCAATCTGACGTAGCTCCCACGATGCTCCAGGTGGCTCAGTTCAGAGTGGAGAGCTATGGGTTGCGTTCCAATAGTCCATTTAGCTTAGGAACCTTCCTAACCAAGTGAAATGACCCGGAAGTACGTCAGTGGCAGCCATGTTAAGTGCCGTTCCAATTCTCTAAATGAAAGGAAAAGAGGTTTCAAACTTCCTTTATAACCTCCTTTAGCTTAGGAACCACTGGACCTCCCTTACCAAAAGGAGAGGAGAAAATGCTGCCCCACAATGCCTTGCAGCCGCAGCATTTGGCATCACACAACAGTCGGCCGTTCACGGAAACAAACTATTATGACGGAGAAGTTATATCATGAAAGTTACGATGCTTATTAAGCATTTTAAAACGTAAGTGGTAACTTGCCAAAGTGCTTTGTTTTGAACGTTCATCAGTATTATAATCAAAAAGATAAATATGATGCTGGCGCATCATAAACACGTCGGATAGTGAAAGTGCATTCGGATTCTCTAAAGTACTGCAGTCTCTCTCTCCTAAGTCCTTTTGAATTCTCCTATACACTATCCCTTAACCCCGTGACGTTTCACTCAGAGGTCAAGGAATAGGAGATAGGGTTAGAATTTAGGAGCTGATTTTTGGATTATCGGAACGCAACCTATGACTTCTTCTTCTTCTTCTTCTTCTTCTTCTTCTTCTTCTTCTTCTTCTTCTTCTTCTTCTTCTTCTTCTTCTTCTTCTCTTCTTTCTTCTCTTCTTCTTCTTTCTTCTTCTTCTTCTTCTTCTTCTCTTCTTCTTCTTCTTCTTCTTCTTCTTCTTCTTCTTCTTCTTCTTCTCACTTCACGGCGTATACTGCCACCCGAAGTCCCTGGCCGGAAGTCCCCGGAGTTGGGGACTGGCTTCAGTAGAAGCTCCCAGGACTCCCAGCAGCTTCTACTGAAGCCTTCCGAGTAAATCGCCAGAACGCCGACACCTCCTCATCTCCACCGCTCCCATGTTTTATTTTGTGTTGCCATAAGTTAGTCTCTCTCCGTTTGTGCGCTGGGCTAATGCTGATGCTAATAAAGCTAATGCGAGGATAATAAAATGCGGCTTCACAAAACTTTTTGGGAGTTTTACGGGGCGTGGTTTGCAACCCGCCCAGCCAATCAGACATAGGAACCTTTTTCTCCCACGAAAGTCCCTCCTCTCTAGCAGGGGGTAAAAAAGGTTCTGATAAACTCATTTTAGTTCCGGCTCTTTTTGGTGTGAACGCAACATTTCGGAACTATATCGGAACTAAAGTGGGAAAAGTACTGCGGTGTGAACGCGGCTATATAAGGGGGAACTTACTCATCAATAGAACAGGAACTTCCAACTGCCAAGAGGTACACTATTCATATTAGGGTTCAATCAGTTTTGTTTGATTTTGTTTTTGTTGATTATCTTTTTCTATAATTGATCTAAATCTTCATAGTAACTAAAAAAGTATAAAGGACAATGTGTTCCTCTGGGTTAACTTAACAAGCCTCTTTATTGCTACTGTCACCGTATGAGTCATTGTATTGCATGTGTTGAAACAAATGATGGAGGGAGGGACATGTAAAAAATGGGCGGACCAAAGAGACATGACGAAGACTAAAGTAGGAGTTCAATCAAACAAGGACATTAGTTATTCGACCCGTCTGACAACGACGCAAACCAAAGGGGAAAGACCAAGTGCAAAGAAGACAGAGGACTTGTCTGAGAAAAGAGGCAAGAGATATAGGCTACAAACTGAGGGGAGAGCAGAGAGTCCAAAGTTTGACATGGAGTGTGTTTGCAGAAAGAGATCGGGATGAAGCGACACCATGAGAAGTTATCCATCCCTTTAATTGTACTCTGTTTGGGAAGCCTGCTGATCACTGCCCTCTGGATCATTGTGGACAACGGATAAGCGTGTCAGTACTTGTTCCAACAAGCCAATGGGGACGCACCCCTGAAAGTCCCGCCTACCTGGGATGTTTGTGTCAGAATTGAAAATAAAAAATGAGGGAGCTGCAGTGAGAGCAAAAGTCTGATCATTGAGAAAGAAGCAAAGAGAACTGCAAACAAAAATATATGTTAAAACAAAGAAAAAATACTTAGTTTACATGATTACACTAATGATTTGTTTGCAACTTAGTTTTATTTTTTAAATTAAATCTATTTTGCTTGACTCAGTTTTTTTCTCTTAAACTCTTAGTTTTGCTTGAATCTGAGAAAGTGTTGCTTTATCTTTATGAAACAAAACTAATCCCATACATGAGTAGGTCTTAAAAGTAGTTAAAAGAAGCGATTTCATTCAACAATTTGCAACTGAATCCATTGGCTTTCTTATGTAATTGAAAAAGTGGCCAAAAAACGTAAGAACGGTATAGCACGAGTTAGAGAGTTTGATAACACAGAGGGACTTCACCAGAAGATAACTTTAACTCACCTTGATGATTATGGAATACAAATCCTCATGAGAACATGTTTTTTTATCTGAAAAGTAACTAAAGCTGTCAAATAGATGTCAGCTAAAAAGGAAAATAGTTCACTCTGAAATTATGGGATAAAATGAAAATACTCAAATTCATCAAAATGGTACTTAAGTAGAGAACTTGAGTAAATAGTTAGGTAACTTAAATATTGTGGAAACTCAAATGATTAAGATGTATTTATGCTTTAAAAATGTAAATACAAGAGCAACTTTAGGCAAATAAATGATTCATCATTAGCATATAATAATCTCATAGCCTATTCATATACTGATTGTCAATGGCAAAGTAAGGGGGAACTTAATCGTCAATAGAACAGGAACTTCCAACTGCCAAGAGGTCACACTATTCATATTAGGGTTCAATCAGTTTTGTTTGATTTTATTTTTGTTGATTATCTTTTTCTATAATTGATCTAAATCTTCAAAGTAACTAAAAAAGCATAAAGGCCAATGTGTTCCTCTGGGTTAACTTAACAAGCCTCTTTATTGCTACTGTCACCGTATGAGTCATTGTATTGCATGTGTTGAAACAAATGATGGAGGGAGGGACATGTAAAAAATGGGCGGACCAAAGAGACATGACGAAGACTAAAGTAGGAGTTCAATCAAACAAGGACATCAGTTCTTCGACCCGTCTGACACCGATGCAAACAGAAGGGGAAAGACCAAGTGCAAAGAAGACAGAGGACTTGCCGGAGAAAAGAGGCAAGAGATATAGGCTACAAACTGAGGGGAGAGCAGAGAATCCAAAGTTTGACATCTAGATACAAGGTGTGTGTGGACAGGAGGTGAGGGGACAAGTGTGTGTGCAGAAAGAGATCGGGATGAAGCGACACCCTGAGAAGTTATCCATCCCTTTAATTGTACTCTGTTTGGGGAGCCTGCTGATCACTGCCCTCTGGATCATTGTGGACAACGGGTAAGCGTGTCAGTACTTGTTCCAACAACCTGTGGATCAGGTTTTTTATTTACCCGAGTATGAGGATATGTATGAAGGTAGATATGGTGCAAAATGCGAGAGCGTGTAAAACCTGATGTGAGCACTTGAATACAAAAAATATGAGTTTGTAGGGTTAGGGTTCCAATACTCCAATACTTAAAGCTTGACACTCAGACTGTAAACTCTGCGTGTCATTTTCTTTGGTTCATTCGCCATGAATGTTTTCTGCAGTTCATGTATTTGAACTCACATAGCTCAAGTTTAGAGCAAATATGAAGCCCAATAACATGGCACATGCATGTGCAACTGATGGCATCTCATTGAAGACTTCCACATCTTCAACAATGAGTCCGATGTGCTGCAGTGGCAGGAGAGGATAGTCCTCCACCCTGATGCCAAGCACCGCCATTGTACACTGCTCAAGCTCTGTGTCAGATGTGCAGGTCCCACATATTCAAAACGCTTGAATCAACAACTCCCTTGTTTTTATTCCAAAGGCCTCTCACACTAATTTGCATTTCAGGCTTCTGTCAACTGTCTTTCTGTGTGTGTGTGTGTGTGTGTGTGTGTGTGTGTGTGTGTGTGTGTGTGTGTGTGTGTGTGTGCGCCTAAACATTTTCTCCTCAACAGTTATAGGTATATATATATTAGGGCTGTCAAACGATTACAATTAATCAGATTAATCACAGCTTAAAAATTAATTAATCATGATTAATCACCATTCGAACTATGTCCAAAATATGCCATTTATTTATGTATATTGTTGTGGGAATGGAAAGATAAGTGAAAGAAGGCGGGTATATCCATTTAACATACAGTATCTATGTTTATTATAACGTTGTTCTGTGTGTCAAAATGAAAGACAACCAACACACCTATCAATCATCAAACCGTGGGGTCTTAATTCATTACATGTTGATTTCTATCAACGGGGGAGTACTTCAGGAAAGTCGACAGAGGGGGGGGGGGCTAGTGGAGTACTTGGTGACCACAGAGTGTGAACGTTGTGATCAGCTGTTTTAGCGCAGTTCTCCAGTGAAGGGGGGGAGTCTCCCTCCAGCCGGGTGGCGTAGTTTTTGCACAATTCCGTTGTACAGACCGACGTTAACAGCAGCCCTGTCTGTGCACACGGAGACCAACTCTATCGTCCGGTGATCTAACCGCCTTCTGGAAAAGCTTCACAAGTACGTCGGTACGCAAATGCGCTTTGTGACACAAGTGACGGTAAGCATTTCAGATTACGCACATAACCTGCGTACCAGTTATGTGCACCCCTGTACTACAGCAAAAGTATTCTCCGTCGGGACTTCCTGCAACAACACCACGCCGTTATCTTGATTCTGATTGGCCAGAAGACATTATCAAAGATGTTCTATTGAGAAGACGATCACTACGTGACAAAAGTTTTCAAAACCGTGGCTACTGAAATCAATCTTACTAACTGCTGTCTGTGCAATTTACTCCGCGCGAGTTGGCGGACTTATATTTTGCTTACTTTAACATCATTTTTCATGGTGGGGCTAAGCCATTTGTTGGTTTGGGTGTAGCCTACCCCAGCCATACCCTGGCGCTGCCACTGGTGGCACGTATGGGGTGGGCCATTCTGCACATGCGTTAAATGCGTTAAATATTTTAAGGCAATTAATTCAAAAAATTAATTGCCGCCGTTAACGCGATCATTTTGACAGCACTAATATATATATATATCAGTTTACATATTTCACTTGTCAAACTCAACAAAAGTTTGCCCCTTGCATGAGACATTTATGAAAACAACCTGGTTGAACTAGCTTTAAAAATTAGCTAACACGTGGCTAAACTTGCTAACCCATAGCCCTATCCAAATACCTTATGTGAAACCTGTAAGGGAAACTTCTGCAGCAATGGAGAGTCAGGACTCAGAGAGACACGAGGAGAGTTGGAGCTTTGATGTCAAACACTGATGGTTTATTACGAGTATCGGCTAGAGAATTTCACATCACAAGTCACAGCAGCCAGAGGTTCTGACTGCACGGAGAGTTGCCACATCAAATCTGCCGCGCCTCTCTCTCGATAGCCCTTTTAACTAGTTCAGAGAGAGTAAACAACATATTTGGAGACTAAACAGCTGGGCATTTTGTGACCGAGAGTTGACAGGTCATAAACTGGTTTATCAAGATAGCTGGAGCCTCCCATTCCTTAAGAGAGATAACAGACTCAGGGTTGGTCATAAACATCAACAGTAGGGGTGTTGAAATTAATCGTTTCTACGATGCACCGCGATGCGGACGTGGATGATTCTGCATCGATGCAGTGACAGAACCTAATCGATTATAGCGTAGTAACGTTGCTTCCTGATTTTACGCCCGCGGCTTTACAATCACGTTTTTTTTCTGTCAATTTAATATAAAATCGGTCGGTGACGCAGAGATCAGGGAACAGACGTGACAGCGACACCAAACACGGAGCAGTCTGCTTTATCCACCAACACAAGAACACCAGTCCAGAACCAACAGCAGAAGGACCCGCTCTGAATCAGTCCGTGTCGCTGCGGCTCAGACACACAGGGATTTATGTTTTTTTTAAATACTCGTGTTACAACCATGTCAGGTTTTTGGTGGATTTAGTTAAGTCTTGGTTTGCAGAGTATGAATATCCTCTTGCTATTTTCAGACGATATACGTGTGTAAAGTTTGTGAAGGCAGGAGGAAAGCTTCCGCGATCACCGTCTCCTCTCTGCTGCTCCAAACCCCGCCCCCCTGAAAATAATGAGTGACAGGCTGATAGTGACCTGATATAAACTTTGTTATTCACTTAATCACTGATTGAGATATGATGAATCTAACTTAATCTCCTACATTAATGGGATTTATGTAACAGTAAGACAGAGAATGTAAGTGTGCACCCACATGCAGTATTTTTGTTTATATGCTGTAAATACTCCTGTTGTCTGCTGTGTTCAGACTCAAGTCATGTTAGTGATGCCACATTCAGTGTCCTTTCTTTAAACAGAAGACCGTTGCTATAAGCTGCAGCTAGACTGCAGAAGCATTAGTTTTTTGTTTTTGAGGATTTCACACACAGATACTGTATAGGGATGCTAGAGCTATACAATTGATTTATTTTGGTTTATAAATGAATGTCAAGACATTTATGTTATTGATTTCTGAAGCACTTAAATAATAAAAAGAGAGTTCATATGTATTTACTGCATGTATTCATTGATGAAAAAGAAGCCATGTGCAGTAATATAGAAAATTGAGGATGCAACGCATTGGTATGAATTGTGATGCATCGTGATGCATCGGGATATCAAATCGAATGACAGGATAATCGTATCGAATCAAATCGTGAGACCAGTGAAGATGCACAGCCCTAGTCAACAGGCACAAAAAGGTTTGATATCTTAGGAGTAGAAGGAGAATTATTCCCTCACAAAACCAATATTACATATGCAACAATTTAAACTTTTCAATAGTCAAACAGTAACAACAAAGTTAGCCGTTTGCATGATACATTTAAAAAATGATCTGGTTAAGCAAGCCTTAAAAAAGTATTTAACACGCGGCTAAACTTTGCTTACACATAGACAAGTACTAAGACAGGCGGTAAGACATTCAACTTTAAAACAACACAATTTCAAATCATTACCTTCACTGTAAAATGTTTGGCTGTAAAATTACAGTAAATTACTGGCTAGTATTTGCATGGATTTCACAGTAATTTACTGTAAATATTTCCCAGTAATTGACTGTAGATATTTGACAGTAAATTAGAATAAAAGTACAACTAAATACTGTGACTTTACAGTTGCCATACCCATGGAATTACTGTGATATAGCAGTACAGAGCTGTGGTATTATGTTACCTTGCTGTACATACATTACAGTAATTACCTGTATTTTCACACTATTACTGTAGAAGTAATGCAACACAGTAGCCAGTAATTTACGAAAATATATTGTACATTTGACTAGTTAACTGGGATTTTACCATAGCTACACAATTCAATCAGCTCAATCAACAAAGAAAAACAAAGAAAATGCCCATTTAAACTTTGTATTACTCCATTGAAGTGCAAAGTACATTTCACAGTGTCTTGGACATGTTGTTACGGCCCCAACCTCTACTCCGCGGTAGTGGCTCGTGCTGAGACCGCAACATGAAAGAATACACGCAATAACCGGTACTTGGTAACGAGCATTTTGTTACGATTATTGTGTTATGTCACGTTTTGTATGTCTTGTTTTGGGTGTTTTGCTGTTCTCCCTGTCATGTTTTCTCCCTTGTATATTGTCTGGTCCTTCTTCCTGTGTTTTCCCCCTGTTAGTTTCCCTGGTGTGTCTGATTGTGTTCACCTGTCGCCCTTGTGTTTCTCCTCCCCTGCCCGGCTGTTTCTCGTCTTGTGATTACCCCTCCCTATATTTAGTCTTGTCCCTTCCTGTGTTCAGTGTTGGTTCGTCTTTTGTTTGTGACTGAGTTCACCGGTGAGTGTTCTATTTTGTCCTAGTATTTTTTCGTTATCCTTGAAATAAAGGCATTTTCAGCGTTATCTGCATTTGGGTCCTGCTTGCTTCACCCACCGTAACACATTTATTGATAATCAGCCGTTTGCTCACACAAGCGAAACGGGAAACAAAAAGAGGTCTGGAGGACTGGCCAAAAGGAGCAAACAGAAGGAGGGAACCCGAGCCAGCCACACCACGGGCCGTAGGACCCAGAGCTTCCCCCACTAACCAGAAATAAATTATAAACCCTATGGGAAACAAAATAAAGCAGTGAAAACTGGACTACCAGGTCCTCCAGGCTAAACATAAACACATCTGCAAAAATATGGCCTACAGCTCAAAATGGCAAAGAGGTATTCTAAGGAGTGTCTCCCGGCATCAGGATAGGCGAGACATCCTTCTCCTCCAGCTTCTCTTTATATATACACGGCTGAGTGGAATTTGGAACACCTGGGCAGAGGCGGAGCCAGGGGCAGACCAGGTGCACCTGGGCAGAGGCGGAGCCAGGGGCAGACCCGGTGCACCTGCGCAGCCGGGAGACAGAAAATAAATCAAGGAGGGGAGCACGTAACACATGTCTACACAGACATCCACTCGAAGTCAACCATTTTTCTGAAGAATGTGCTGACATGGGGGCTCAAATTGCCATGCCTCTTTTTGGCTTTCCAGCCCGTCTCAGGGTTAAGGCCCAGGAAGCACCTGAAAGCAATAAGCCAAGACAACAATTTAAATGTTACATAGATTTATATGTTGCATCGTTTATTTGAAGGCAGATGCAGCGGTGCCCCTTTCAATTTAAGTAAAACCTGCACCAAAGAAATAAATTAGTATTTAAAGCCAAGCAAGAGCGGTAAAAGCAAGAAAATCACTTAATTTGTTGTGTTATCACAGAGGATGGCCTGAATACAGTATTTTACTGTGGAATAATATAGTAACATGTTGTGAAATCCTGGTAATCATTTATCCTGTACATTCACAGTAATTAACTGTGAATGTATAGATTTCACTGTGAAATTCAAAATGACAGTATTATATTGTGAACATTACAGGTAAAGACTGTAAAGTGGTAAAACAGTCATTTATTGTAAAATATTACAGCTAAATATTGTGAAATCATGGTAATATTTTACAGAGATTATTTAAGTGTTTCTGGATTGGTCCTTCTCACGGACAGCGCGGTGTAGTGGGTAGCGGGTTAATGACGGCCGCAGCAAATCTTGCAGTGACCTTGCTTTGTCCACATCATGTGGTCATGTGACATTATTTGAAGTGAAAAAAACTATTTAGGTTAAATTATTGTTTTAGGTCGATTCAGGGGGAATGTGTTTTGCACGGGTCAACCGAAAAGAAATCCTGCTGAAAAAAGAAACCACAATTTTTAAATAGACCATTTAAAACATTTACTTTGAATTAATGACACAGTCCTTTCACATTTTTCAGCGCAGAACGACATTCAATAACTCCTCTGTCAATCAGTTGTTATTCTCAGTCTTTGTTTTGTATTGGATTGCTTAGTCGTTGTTTTAAAATGAGTTTAGTTGATGTTTTTTTTGTAGTTTTTGGTAAACCACACCTGTCATCATAGCTCATTTGCCTTTTGGTGTGGACTATGTATAAATGAATGTGCTGTGCTGTTTGTCTCTTGTTTGTTGCACAGCCATCTTTTACCAAGTGAACCACCTTCACCCAAGAAAATCCCCCCTTGGCCCTCTGACCCTTGCAAAGGATGCAGGTGAGAGCAAACACCGTCCATGCTTCTCCTTGAAGGGACCTTTCTGTTAATGCCTTCATCAGAACAATTCATGTTATCACGAGGGGTCACACACCTGACTGTGTGTGTGTGTGTGTGTGTGTGTGTGTGTGTGTGTGTGTGTGTGTGTGTGTGTGTGTGTGTGTGTGTGTGTGTGTGTGTGTGTGTGTGTGTGTGTGTGTGTGTGTGTGTGTGTGTGTGTGTGTGTGTGTGTGTGTGTGTGTGTGTGTGTGTGTGTGTGTGTGTGTGTGTGTGTGTGTGTGTGTGTGTGTGTGTGTGTGTGTGGTGTGTGTGTGTGTGTGTGTGTGTGTGTGTGTGTGTGTGTGTGTGTGTGTGACAGGGAGCTTATTGAAAAAGTAAGAGAACTCTACTCAAAAACTTGGAAGAAGCAAGAAGATAATTACAGAAACTTCAGGTAATTGTATTTCATTACATTTTGTATAACATGTTGACAAAAAAGGTTTTGGCCAGAATTGCAATTAATAGTCCATGCAGGCAAATATTTGCTGTTTCTCAGGGGAAGAGTATAAACACTAAACATTGTCACAGTTTGAGACTATTCTGTGAGTTGGTTTTAAAAGTATTTAGAAGAAGCCCAAGAGTGCCACATCATTCAACAATTTGCAACTGAATCCATTGGTAATCAAAAATCTTAACAAATGTATAGCACGAGTCAGAGAGTAAAACAGAGGGACTTCACCTGAAGATAACTTTAACTCACGTTGAGGATTATATCAATTAAAAATCCTTATAAGAAAGAAGATACGTTTGATATATAATCTGAACAAATTGCCACTTACTGTGTTTGGTCAATCATAAAGCTTTCAGTTCAACAAAACTCCTGACTTGGATGTTTTTTTAACAAAGTCCTTGTGTTACCCCAGTTCTCAGCTGAGAAGTCAGTGCCAGGGATTTGACAGCGCCATAATTACCCAGGCCAACTCTCCAGTGGGATCAAATATTGTGTACTCTGCGGAAAGCACGACGACCCGCATGGTGACTCCAGAGATTTTCAGCACCTTCATAAAGGTATGTAGTTTTTCATTCATGGATAGTATCACATCATCTTCTGCTTGTTGTCTTTATTGTTCCTTAAAGGGCTCAGAGATTATAAATGATGTGTTTATGGTGACTGGTTGATACAAACGACCACCTATGACCACCCTTTCACAAACACACACATGCACGCACACACTCACGCAAACAAACATAATTATGATTTGAAGTGAGGACTGCTTAATCTGACGAATGCTAAAAAAAAACTACAATCTTATTTCAATACACAGCATGTCTGCTTTTAATGATATAATTGCTGATTTGTAAATGTGAAATAATTCTAGTTTTTAGAAAATTGGTACTGACTCGGTTTTTGATTTTCATTCATTCTCAAATGTGTAACCGGCTTCAGCTCCTGAAAAAAGAGCATCCAGTACCCTTTCTACAACACCAGTCTACAAAGTTTGCATTCATTTTGATATCAACTGTCTGATCCATGGACACAACAACTTTGTCAGGACTAACTGGAATAGTTCAGAAAAAAACAGTCACAGATTCAGAGTACGTTTCAGGTTCCAGGTTCCAGGATACAACCCACCGCTCCTGATACTGGGATAGTTCAAATACAGAGGCTACATTTCACTGTGTGTGATCAGCTGAGATGCCAAATCAGGCCAAGGGGCGCAAAGTTGAGGGCCCAATGGCCACTACCTGTACCCTCTAGCTCAAACTCTCTTATTTTGATCTCAGATAATAATAATAATACATTTTATTTCAAAGCGCTTTTCCAGGTGCTCAAAGACGCTTTACAGTGGTTTGATAAAACATGATAAAATAGAATAAAAAATAGAAATAAAAAATAAATAAATATTAAAACAGCAACACAGCATAATTCACAAATTAAAAGCCAGTCTGAAGAGGTGTGTTTTGGTCAGTGTTTTGAAAGATAGATACACTATAGTCAGTCATTTTGGAGAATTGTGCGCTGTTTTAATCGTAAAAGAATGTAGGAAATCAACAGTGTTGTAACGCCGTTATTTTTGGCAGTAACTAGTACTCTAACGCATTACTTTTTAAATGCAGTAACTCAGTTACCGTTACTACATGGTGCGTTACTCCGTTACTGAGTTAGTTTTTTTATATAGTCAACAGCCAGGCGAACAGAGATGAGAACTGTACTTAAGTACAGTACTTGAGTAAATGTACTTAGATACTTCCTGTGTCACATGCGGAGACGGGCTGTGGGCGTGTTTGTGTTGTTTACTAACAAGACTATCATGGCGGCGGCGGAGCTCAAGTCTAGTTTCACCACCTGGAGATATTCTCACTATTTCACTTTTGTCAAGCACAAAGAAAAGAAAGTTTTTGTTAAATGTAAGTTGTGTCTTGGCGGGTCAAAGAGCCTATCTACTGCCCAAACCAGTCATTCAAATCTCTTAAAACATCTGCAGAAACAACATGCTGGGACGAAGCTAGTAGCTAAGACCGGCACAGACCCAGACTCAGCCGACGCCACTCCACCTCCACCTAAGCAACAGCGGCTGTATTTCAACCAAGGGACTGCTAGCCATTGAAAAGTCGATAAAGCCATTTCACGGTATGTTGTAGAACACATGCAGGCTATTGCTACAGTGGAGGCACCCACTTTCAGGGAGCTAGAAAACTTTTTCCAACTACCTGGAGAAAGAATATACAAAAATGGAAAGCCAGCTAATATCGATGCAATCCAGATTGCATATAATGCATGTCAAGTTGATCAACAGATTGTATTATTCTCCAATGCAATAACAGTACTGAAATGAAGGCTATAAGGGCATTAATGGGAGCCCTTTTTTAAGTAACTAACACGTTACTTTTCACAGTAACGCATTACTTTTTGGTGTAAGTAATCAGTAAAGTAACTGAGTTACTTTTGAAATGAAGTAACTAGTAATGGTAACTAGTTACTGGTTTTCAGTAACTAGCACAACACTGGAAATCAATAACGCATCTCTCACACCTCGAGTGTACATTAAATAAATACTCTCACTCACACACGTTAACACATGTTGGAACTGTTATAGGGGATTTGTAAACATCCCCATGGCTCTTGCTCATTCACACACATTATATAATCATATGCATGTTATTGTTCTCTAATATATTTTTTCATTGGTTTTATTTCCAGGAGAATCCATTTCCAAAGAAAATATTTGACACGTGTGCTGTTGTTGGGAACTCAGGGATTCTGACAAACAGCAACTGTGGAGAGATGATCGATTCGGCTCAGCTTGTTATCAGGTGAGAAAGCTGTCAAGATTAGGGGACTGAAAGGCTGATGGCGACATCAATCTACAGAATTAAACATAAAGAATTAAAAAGATCATAAAATTCCCAATCATAATTTCTGATTCGTCCGTTATGCTTTTCAGGTGCAACCTACCTTCTTTGGGAAAAGGCTATGAGAAACATGTGGGCAACAAGACTGACATTGTGACAGCAAATCCGAGCATCCTCGTTAGAAAGTGAGCAAAACAATTATTCTCACTTTACCATAACATTTGTTTTAGTTTTGTTGCCAAACATTCTTTCTATTTTCAGGTATGGGTCCTTAGACGGGCCTAGACGTCCATTTGTGGAGAGTCTACATATCTACGGCAAGTCCCTGCTGCTTCTACCTGCCTTTGCCTTTGACTTTTGTACTCCTTTGTGCCTGAAGGCTGCATACAGCATTAGGGACCTTGAAAGTCCAATTAGGCCCACCTACTTCAACCCTGATTACCTCCGGAGACTGAACAACTTCTGGCGCTCCAGAGGCCTACACAGAGTCCTAAACAGAGGCATACTCAGCACCGGCTTACTGATGGTTAACATAGCGCTGGAAAACTGTGCCAACGTGCATGTGTACGGTTTCTGGCCCTTCAGTATTCATCCATTTGAACTCAATGCCGTGAAAAACCACTATTTTGATGATGAAACAGCTAACTGGGGAACGCATTCCATGTCTGCTGAGTTTAACCTGTTGTTGCAGCTGCACAGTCAAGGTGTGCTCAGGCTTCACCTGGGGAACTGTCGACCGGGTAAAAATTAGTTCCCAGGTCCAGAGACAGATGAGACTGGGCATCTGAAAAATTGGGACATTTCCTGGTGGACTGAGGACTAATCTCAGAATTTGTCTCTAAACTATGCCTTTTCAATCCAATCCACTCACCAGAGATGGGGACTCGAGTTTGTGACTCGGACTCGAGTCGCACTTAAGTCGCACACACAGATACTTCAGACTTGACTTGGACTCCTGCTCAAAAGACTTCGGACTTGACTTGGACTCGTGTTTTGGGACTCGTGAACAATCATTGTGTTTTCTATTTTTGGCGTATTAAAGGTGGGGTAGGTAAGTTTGAGAAACCGGCTCGAGATCGCTAGAATTTGAAAATACACAACCGGAGAAAATCTGCCACTTCCTCACAGAGCCCCTCCTCCAACACACACGAACGCGCACATGACCAATGAGGGCACGAGATAAGTTTGTGCCCCGATGGGAGGCTGACAGGCAGGTAGGCCATCCAGTTATTTTAGTCGGGCCGGCTATCGGGATGTTAAGAGCATTCCATGGAATATAACAAAAAGTGTATCTCGAGCCGGTTTCTCAAACTTACCTACCCCACCTTTAACATTAACATTAACATCATGGTAACACCATGGCGACCGGCGGCACACCTGCAGCTGTACCGCTTGTAATTAGGTTCAACTATAAAAACTTCGAACAAAACGCCGGCGGCACCAACAAAAGGAGCGCACACTGCAAAGTCTGCAATATTAAAATCAAGGATGCTGGTGCAACAACGTCAAATTTCATCAGGCACTTGAAAACTCACCCGGAGAGGTCAGTCACATTAACGCATATGGACGGTTAGCAAATATGTTTAGCTCAGCATCAGCTATGTAATGTTAACTTAGCTTGCTACTAGCTTTGTAACTGAATATTTGAAAAGATGAGTGCTTGTCACACTTGTTTGCGTTGAGTGGCGTTGACATCCAACTCTTGACATGACATAAAAAAGGTCGGTAACGTTAATCATTACGTTCCGCTGCCACCATCTACTGGCTAACGTTAAACGTAGAAAAATACATAGTTACATACATAAATACATCTGTCGGTTTATAGGCAGGTTACAGGTTTATTGTTGACCACGTAACGTTAATGTTACAGGTTTATCAGGTTACCATTACACTGGGTTTGAGTGAGAGGATAGAGGAATATGTTTATTTATAGTAGACTTAAAATATGTCATTAGAGACCCAGTGTAATTAAACAATACGGTTGCAGAGGTCAAATTTAAAAAATGTTGTCCACTGGCCAAATGGCTAGCCTAGTGAATGTTGAAATTTTACCAGCCACTCAATAGATTGCCATTGTTATTTGTGGCTGGTGCGTGCAACATACAGTACCAGCCACTTGCATGATTTACCAGCATTTGGCTGGTAAATGGTGTTAATGGTAGATATCTCTTTTGGAACAGGTCATGTTTTAATATCACCAGTTCAGTAAATTTCAGATAATATTGCAGCAATAGTTTTTTAGTTGCAAATGGCACAGAACAAATGTTTACTTTTAAGTACTTTTAACACAGTTTCCCTGCGGGGGATTAATAAAGTATTTGTGATACTGATTTCTGATTCTGAAGTGTTTTGTTTATAAGTTGTTTGCATTTAGCTAAAGTGTGATGTTTTTCCTCATATTGCATTGCAATAGCCTGTTTAAAGTGATCATATAACAAACAACTAATCAGTACTGATACTGTATGCTAATAGATGTAGGAGTGATAATAATACAGTAAATGCTTTGAATGTCTTAGATATAGCTGTGCAGTATTCTTAACAGACTGGATAGCAGCAGACAATAGAAGGCTTATTACAACCAGAAGAGACATGAGACTTTTATGACTTTTATGGACTCGTGACCAAAGACTTGAGACTTGATCAAGTCTCACCCCACAAAGACTTGAGACTTGACTTGGACTCGTGACCAAAGACTTGAGACTTGACTTGGACTTGCAAAAAAAGACTTGTGAACATCTCTGCCACTCACTCTCCCCCCATATCAGCTCTTATGCCCGTTTCACACCAACGCGGTTCCAGGACCGGTTCGGAGCTTGAGCCTGATAAACACCGTTTTTCCTGTTCACACCGCAGCGGAGCCGGCTCTTTTTTACCCGAAAACCGGTTCTTACCATGTGTTACAGAGTTAAAAATGTGTATAATTGTGGTGTAGCCTTCTTACAGTGCAGACGTGTTTCTGCTTGCTCTTGCCTCTGCTTACTTTTTTATGCTGTTTTTCTATTTTTCTTTTCTGAAAACTTCGAGCAGCGGCTCCTGGAAATTAACCTATCACTGGGACAGTTATTCTTCGTAAATAGACGGAGGGTTTCAGCCATATTTCAATATTTTTACGACGACCTCAGTCTTACAGTAGCGTGGCCTAGCAACAGCTAAAGCCTGGTACTGCATGCTATTTAGCTTAAGCTAGTTAGCAGCAAAATGCCTCCGTTCTCTACAGATGACTTCCACAAACTTCTACAGAAGATGGCAGTGTTGGAAATGAAAATGCAACGGTTGGAAGTTAACGTGGAAGTGAATGGACTAGGTTGGAATGACACCACTTTACCAGTGTTGCAAAAGAATGGACAAAGGCATGCTAACTCAAAGCTAGTTAGCAGCTACAAGGATTCCAAGGAACAGGAGGGCTGTGTACCGGGTAATAAATCTACAAGTGGTAGTCCTCCCTCGAACTCTCTGGGTGCAAGGCCGAAGAGTAAATCATTTCCATGGGATTTGGGAGGACGAACAACAGGCAGAGCCCAGCGCTCTGAAATCTGTGATGCGACCGGCTGGCCTGCATTGTTATCACCCAGGAAGAGCGCCTCTTCAACCCCTGTTCCTACTAGGAAACAGCCGTGGACAGCTGCTAAAGGGAGAACTACAAACAATCCTCCTAAACCACCGAGTGTGCCAATCCAGAACAGATACGCTCTGCTGACCGAGAGCCGGAGATCTCTTTCTGATGACCTGGATAACCTGTCCTCTTCACACAGCAGGGTAAGGACCAATAGCTACTCCATAAGTAAAAGGCTAGAGGGAAAGCTAACGACTGGGCCTGAGACTCTGATTGTGGGTGACTCTGCTGTAAGAGATGTAAAAGGTCTGTGTAGTAAGAACAACACCAAAGTACTCTGTTTTCCCAAGGATGTGGTCTCTGACTTGGCTGAGAAGATCCTGCATATTGGGGCTGAACATCCAACTGTGAAGAATGTGGTACTACATATTGGAACAAAGGATGTTGTGAAACAACAATCAGAAGTGCTGAAAAAGACTTTAAATGTCTGTTGGAAACGGTCAGCTCTCTAAATGCAGAGGTGTTCATCAGTGGCCCTCTACCGCCAGTCAAAAGAGGAGTGGAGAGATTCAGCAGATTGTTTGCACTGAACACCTGGCTTTCAACGGCCTGTACTGACCATTCTGTTCATTTTATTGACAACTTTAACTTTTTCTGGGACCGCAGACATCTTTTTAAGGCAAATGGAGTTTGCCTGAACAAGTCAGGAGTGAAATTGTTTATCTTTAACGTATTCAACTGCCTGGGTCATCAATCTGTTCCCTCTGCCAAGGACAAGCAACAAGAGGAATCAAAACAAGAGAAAGACACAACACATCGCTCAGAAAACCTTGAAAATCTATCACTACACCCGCCTCAGGAATGTCTTGATTATGGGAGACAAATTGAGGAGTCTCCACCGCCCTATCACCTCTGAGGATACTCTTCCTTCACCCCACAGCTCTCTCTACTCTCCGTTCACCCTTTCACCCTCGCCCACCCTCCTGGAGATCGCTGAACACACAAAGGAGATACAGAGGGTTGGCACAGATTCCTTCCTGGAGTTCAAAGACCAAACTAAGGCGATACGCAGGGCTGGCAGCATGTCCTTTACCCCCGCTCCTCAACGACGCCCACCAAAATCACCGCAGAGACGCGCACCATCTCCCCCGTCTTCATCACCGTGCCTACGTCAACCACCTCCCCCCCCTGGCAGCATGTCCTCTACCCTCGCACCATCTCCCCCGTCTCCATCACCGTGCCTACGTCAACCACCTCCCCTCCCTTCAAGAAAGCATCTGCAGTCTCCGAAGCCTGATAAGGATGTGTGTGTGTACAAAATGCAACAAACTCTTACTGATATGTGCTGGGTCCAGGCTCAAGGGCGTATAGCACTCTCAACTCTTTCCAAGACATGCCGGGGCCCTGCCTCCCAGTAGCTTTGCCGATATCTGTGTTGGTAGGTAATAGATTAAGAGCGGTGAATCAGCATAGAAACAGGAAGTGCTCAAATGTTTGTGTGAGTTTATCAAATTTAGCAGTGATTCCATGTCAGCCACAGCTTGTCACAAAAAATCTTACTGATAGTGTATCTAACAAACTTAAACTAGCTTTATTAAATGTCAGGTCTCTGGCAGGAAAAACATTTTTAATCAATGATTTTATCACTGAGCACAATCTCGATTTTATGTTTTTAACAGAAACTTGGATTGAACAAAATAAAAGTGCAGCTGTTCTTATCGAATCAACCCCTCCCAACTTTAGTTTTATGAGTCAGGAAAGAATGCATAAGAAAGGGGGTGGAGTTGCTATTCTGTTCAATGATTCCCTTCAATGCAGGAAGACATCGTATGGAAACTTTGCTTCTTTTGAATATGTGGCCCTTCAGCTGAAATGCTCCTCTCGAGCTCTGTTCCTAAATATCTATAGACCACCCAAATACTGTGCAAGCTTTTTTGATGACTTTACTGAACTGCTGTCTATAGTGTGTATTGACTTTGACCGTCTAGTCATTGTTGGTGATTTTAACATCCATGTTGACAACCCCCAGGACAGAGGGGCTAAAGAACTGTTTTGTGTTCTTGATAGCTATGGACTGACTCAGCATGTGACGGAGCCCACGCACAATAAGGGGCACACTCTGGACTTAATTATCTCAAAGGGTCTGAATATCTCTAAGGTTGTGGTGACTGATGTTGCACTCTCTGATCATTCCTGTGTGTTCTTTGAGAGCTCTATTTCTGTTCACAAGAATGTTCAAAAAGAGGTAACCACAAAGCGATATTTAACTGAAAATACTAGGGAAATGTTTACTCAGAATTTCTCTTCCACACTTGCCCCTGCTAACATCTCAATAAATTAGCTAGTAGATCATTTTAATTCAAAAATTAAATGTTTTATAAATGCCATTGCTCCAACTAAGGTAAAGGAAGTGACTGAGAAGAAAATATCTCCATGGAGAAAGGCCATGACCGTGAGAGCAGAAAAGCTGAACGT